TCCCCAATCTAAGTGGACACAGTTTTTTTTTTGTCATTTTAGGAAATTCAAAACATCGATTTTTTGTTTCTCCCATCATTATATTTTGATAAGTCTCCTAGATGTTTTGATGATCTCCTCACAAGTGCAGAGACATGGTCCTCTGCAGAGTATAAATACTCGTCCAGTTGTCAAAGTGTTGTACAGCTGTAAAAGTTGTCCGTGTCAGGAAGTTGGTGTACCTGCAAAGTACTTCACCAATCAAAAGCGAGGAGGTTGCTTGTACATTGGATAATAATTCTTCATGATATATATTCAACAACAAACAACTATATTACTCATTCATTCAAAGAGAGACATTTCAAGCTTCAAAAACAACAAGGACCTGATCAATTGCTTCAAGTGCTTCCTGTACCAGCTGTTACTTTGTTTGCTTGTAATCATGTTTATATTATAGGATTCGTTTTAATTGTGAAAGAAACGTTTCAAATTTGTGTGAATCATTGTAAGAACTAGGTTAAGGGTAACTTAGGTTCTTACTCTAAAAAGTCTATATTAATCGGTTAGGATTAGTATAGTGGGCAGTGTTGTATCTGCTCTGGCTCAACTAAATGATAGGAGGTATTGCTTAGTGTGGAGATTAGTCTGCTAATCTCAGTTTGTAAACTGACTTTTACTTTTGCTTGGAGAAGATTGGTGGAAGCAGTTTGAAAAGTCCTGTTGAGAACATGTCGTAGTTTTACTCCCTTGAGCAATGAGGTTTCCACATAAAGTTGCTTGCCAATCTATACTTTCAGCATTTGTTCTTTACTGTCTAATATTGTAACTGTGTTGAGGACATGGTCCCATCGACTTAAGTGGACGCATACATTCCAACAAGTAGTATCAGAGCTTGACTTTTCGTTTTGTTTAACACCAAGAAAAGAAAAGATACTGAAGGAATGACAGGTCCACCCAATATGGAAGAAGGTCAGTCATCTACCAGACCACCTCGCTTTAATGGACACTACTATGGATAGTGGAAGAATCGCATGCATGACTATATCAATGTTGAAGACACTAAGTTATGGGACATAATTCTTGACAGGTCATACATCCCTACGAAGGAAGTGAAAGATGGAGAACTCACTACAACAGTTGTCAAAACAAGAAAAGAGTACAATGAAACAGATAGGAAGAAGATAGAGAAGAACTATAAGGCTAAGAAGATTCTAGTATGTGGAATCAAATCAGATGAGTATAACCGAATCTCCGCCTATGAAACGGCCAATGAGATTTGGGACTATCTCCAAACTGCTCATAAGGGAACCACACAAGTGAAGGAGTCAAAGGTCGATATGCTTCGACAAAATACGACAATTTCTGCGTGAAGGATGGTGAAACCATCTTCGAGATGAACTCAAGATTCACATTTGAAACCAATGAGCTGAGATGCCTTGGTGTGCCTATTCCCTTGAGCAAACAAGTTCAAAAAATTCTCAAAGTGCTTCCTAAGTCTTGGAAAAGCAAGGTGAATGCTATAACTGAAGCAAAAGATTTGAAGACTCTTGCCATGGATGAACTGATTAGAAATCTTCAAACATATGAGCTGAACAAGCAACATGGGACAATCATGAATAAGGGAAAGAATGAGAAATCAATTGCTCTAAAAACTTCTTAAAATGATGTTACTGAGGAGGAGGATGAAATGGCCTATTTCACTAGTAGATTTCAGAAGATCATAAAGAAGCATGAAGGCTTCCAAAAGAAAACCTTTGCCAGCAGAACCGCTATTGCAAATGATCTATGCCATAAATGTGGCAAGCCTGGTCACTTCATGAGGGATTGTCTTAGTCAAAAACAGGAAACTCATGACACCAGACCTCATAAGAGGGACCTGGTCCCAAACCATGCTCGAAGGAAGGCACATGCTGATCAATTGGTGAGAAAAGCCTTTGCTGTTTGGGGAAATGATTCAAGTGAATCAGAAGAAGATACAGAAAGTCATGAAGATGTTTCAATGATGGCTATTAAAGATGATGAAAATGTCTTCAACTCCATCTTCTCATTAATGGCAAAGTCTGATGATGAAGAGGATCTAAATGAGGTTACTCTTTTTTATCTTAAAGATGATCTAGATACTCTTCCCATCAAAAATTTGAGGAAACTTGTTGCATTGCGTATTGATTCTGTTGATGAACTAACCACTAAAAACTTAATGACGAATGAAAAATTAAGTTTACGTGTGGATGAAAAATCAGCTTTTGTCTCATAAGTTTCTGAAATAAGTGTTAGGATAGGTATCCTAGAGACTGGTAAGATGACACCTGAGGAGGATTCTTGTACCTCGGAGGGTGGAAAGCAAAAACTTATCATTTTTGAGGAAGAGTTGGAAGAAAAACTTAAAATCTCGGAGTCTAAGCAAGTTGCCTCTCTTGAAACAAATTCTCAACTGAGGAAGGATCTGAGCAGGGTCAAAGAAGAGTTAAGCCACTCTCTTAACTGGACTGACTCCTCCAAGATACTCTCTAACTTGACTAGTCAGAGCTTCAATGGAAAGAAGGGTGCAGACCGATAGAACCTTTTTATAACCCCCATAGTAAATATGTGTCCGTCTCTGACAATCTCTTGTGTACTCACTGTGGTTGTAATTGTCATCTGAAGGAAAAGTGTGAGACTCTGAAAAAAGTAAAATAAAGACATGAGAAATTTGTTAGATCAGAAAAGAATGTTAAAAGAGGACACAAGGTACCTTGTCCCCGTTACCATTTCACTAAGAACACTTTACCCCCCGGACAAGAAGGTTTCTTATTAAGCCCTTTGATAGTTATTGGGAACTCTGTCTGAAGTGGGTTCCTAAGTCTAATAAGTGATTCTTGTGCAGAAGAGAGGGAGCAGTCAATGCTGGTATATGGATAGTGGATGCTCAAGGCATATGACTGGAAATACTCTAAACTTCCTCTCTTTGGAAGCACACCAAGGTGGTGGTGTGTCATTTGACGGCGGAAAGAAAGGTTTTATTCTTGGCATTACCAAGATAGGAAGAACTGCAGATCATTCCATAGATAGTGTACACTATGTGGATGGTCTGAAGTTTAATCTCTTAAATGTATCTCAAATTTGCGACAAGGGAAATGAAGTCAAATTCATGTCTGAAAGGTGTGTGGTTACAAACTGTGCAACTAGGAAAGTTCTGATGTCTGCAAAAAAGGGTCAAGAATATGTATGTTGCTGATCTAGATTTTATTGAAGGAGACATCTTGTCATATTTGAGTGCTTAAATTGATGATACAAACCTTTGGCATAGATGACTGGGTCATGTAAGTACCTCTCTACTTAACAAGTTTGTTGCAGGGGACTTGGTCCATAGACTACCAAAGCTGAAGTTCTCGAATGACAAAGTATGTGAAACATGTGCAAAAGGCAAACAAACAATATCTTATTTCAAGGCAAAGAAGGGTGTGAGCACTACCAGACCTTTGGAACTTCTCCACATTGATCTGTGTGGACCTGTCAGAATTCAAAGCAGAGGAGGTAAAAAATATATTCTTGTGATTGTTGATGATTTCTCTAGGTACACTTGGAATATGTTTCTGTGGAAAAAGGTTGAGACTGCTGGAATTCTGGTTACATTTACCAAAGCAATTCAACTGAAGGTCAACTGCAAGATTGCTAGTATTAGATGTGACCATGGGACAGAGTTTGAGAACTCTCAAATGGAAAGGCTTTGTGCTAAATAATAGAAATGATGATATGGGTAAGTTTGATGCCAGGAGTGATGACGGTGTGTTTGTGGGATACTCCTCCACTAGCCAAGCTTACAGAGTGTTTAACAAAATAACTCTCTCTGTTGAAGAGAGCATTCATGTGACCTTTGATGAATATGAGAAAAGTGTTGATCACAGTGGAGACAATGAGATTGAGGAGTTGATCAAGGAAAGGAAAGGAAAGGACAGCCTAAACCCTGGAAACAAACAAGTCACAAAGGAAATTGCTGCAGATCTCACAGGAGTACCAGGTCCTTCCGATACTACTCAAGAGGTTCCACTCCAATATCATGAAGATGATGATGCTGAATCTGATGCTGATAAAGAAGAAGAGATTACCAGAAAGTCCGAATGGAAGCATCAATCCTCACATCCACTGGACAATCTCATCTCTTCACTTGACTCAGGAATTCAAACTAGATCCAGGACAAGAAATCTAGTTGCTTACTCAGCCTTCATATCATCCATTGAGCCCAAGAACATCAAAGAAGCATTGCAGGATGCAGATTGTGTAACTCCAATGCAGGAAAAGCTCCATTAGTTTGAAAGAATCAAGGTGTGGCACCTGGTCCCCAGACCACTTGACAGAACCAAAATTGGGACCAGATGGATCTTCAGAAACAAAGTTGATGAGCATGAGATCATTACTAGAAATAAGTCAAGACTTGTGGCACAAGGTTACAACCACGAAGAGGGAATTGATTATGATGAGACATTTGTCCCTGTAGCTAGAATGAAAGCCATCAGAATCTTGATAGCATTCGCCGTTCACATGGAATTCAAATTGTTTCAAATGGATGTCAAGAGTGCTTTCTTGAATGGGAACTTGAAGAAAGAAGTATATGTCAAGCAGTCTCCAGGCTTTGAAGATGCAAACCTCCCCAATCATGTGCTGAAATTGGACAAGGCTTTGTATGGGTTAAAACAGGCTCCCAAAGCTTGGTATGAACGCCTGTCAAAGTTCTTCCTCACCAATGGGTTCAAGAGAGGTAAAATTGATAATACTTTGTTCTTAAAATTCAGAGGTAATGAATTGTTAATTGTGCAGGTATATGCGGATGATATCATTTTTGGAGCCACTGTAGAGTTACTTTGCAAGAAATTTGCTGATCTGATGAGCAGTGAGTTTGAAATGAGCATGATGGGAGAATTCACTTTCTTCCTAGGCTTGCAAATCAAACAATCCGTTCAAGGTACCTCTATATGTCAAGAGAAATACATCAAGAAACTGCTTCGAAAGTTCAATTTGATTGAGGGAAAAGTTTTTGACACCCCATGAGCATAAGTGTGAAGCTTGACTTGGATGAAGATGGAGTTGAGGTAAATCAGACTATGTATAGGGGAATCATTAGGTCACTCTTGTATCTTACTGCAAGCAAGCCAAACATAATCTTCAGTGTAAGGATGCACGCAAGGTTTCAAGCTGCACCAAAGGAGTCACATCTAAAGGCAGCTAAACGAATACTGAGATACCTGAAGGAAACTCAGGACCTGGTCCTCTCCTACCCAACATGTGACTCACTTGATCTAATTGGACTTGCAAATGCTGACTATGCAGGCTTTCTTGTAGATCGAAAGAGTACATCAGGCATGTCACGTTTTCTTGGATCTTCACTGATATCTTGGGGGATAAAGAAACAAAATTCAGTTGCTTTGTCCACTGCTGAGGCGGAATATGTAGTTGTTGCTTCATGTTGTGCTTAACTGTTGTGGATCAAGAAACAATTGGAGGATTTTGGTGTTCTCACTGATACAATTCCTTTAACGTGTGACAACACCAGTGTAATGAATATGGACTAAAATCTTGTGCAGCTCAAGAGGACAAAGCACATAGATGTGAGACATCATTTACTAAGGGACAATATTGAGAAGCAAAATGTTGTGATGAAATTCTGCAAGACTGAGATCAGTTGGCTGACATCTTTACAAAGGCACTTAGTAAAGAATCATTCATTAAGAACAAGATAAGGCTGGGGATGCACAAGATTACCTGATTCCTCAACAAGTTTGCACAAAAATCTTCTATTTTGATTATGTTAAGGAGGGCAGGTATCTATACTTGTTTAATGTTTGTCACTTAAGAATTCACTTCTGGTACCTTAATGCAGGTATACACTCATGGTGTATTTAGCTGAAGGGAAGATCTAACCATACAGGCAGGGTCGCAAACTGAAAAGGGGACCTGGACATCATAAGGTTAGTATCACTTATGCTACATTGTCTGTCTATCAATATCACTGCTATGCGTCTTTCCCCCGGTCATCGCGTCAGTTTCAAGTGTCTTTTCACTTAAAAACCAAAGGTCGCTATTGTTGGGGACCCGATACCCTTTTGATTCTATTTAAAACTAAGTTCTTAGAGAATCAAATTCTTCAAATCTCTTCAAGTATTTCCTTCTTATTCTCTAATTGTTCTTCAAGTATCTTTTTTCTTCTCTTTAAATGTCTAACTCCGTCTCTTCTTCCCAGACTCTTATCTCTCAAAAAGTTGCAAACCCTAATTCCTTCAACTTCTCCATATCCCCTCCATATGAAACTCTTTCGACTCCAGTTTGTGGAGTTAGTGAAACGAGTGCCATAGCAGCAAGTCAAGTTCAAACGAAAAGAGCCAGGAAAATGAGGAGGAAATGTATTGAACCTGTAAAACCTACCTCTACACCTTTCCCTATCAGATCTAGTGATACTAAGTCAGAGGATGTTACTGCTTATTTGACTAAGAAAATAAAAAAAAGTGAGAAAGAAAGGGTTTAATCAAAAGGAAGTCAGAAGAGTGCAAAGAAATCCCTAGTGCAAAAGGGAGAAAGTTAGAAAGCAGGTGGCTGATAAATCAAAACCCGTAAAGGGACCAGGTCCCAGGGTACATAAACAAAGTGAAGAAAAGGAAGTGAATAACGGCGATAGAGAACCAAAAGGTTTTGAATGGCAGAGTCTTTGACCCTGACATTCTAACCAAATTTGGCATGTCAAATCTTTTTTATGTTGTCTCCATTCAAGTTTGGAACCATCTCTTTGAACCACCAGTTTCGTACTTGCACGAACCTGAGGTGCTTGAATTTTTCTACAAAATAGAACTTCTGGAAGGTGGTGGAATCGCGACTACTGTCACTAAATTTGCCACAAAATGTGGAGATGTCAAAAGAGAAGGGTTACCGAAAAGGTCTCTCAAAAAGGAATAACAGTTGCTTTTCGAGTTTATCAACAAAGTGTTGGTGCCCAGAACAGAAAAAAGAACAGTGGCATCTGCTGCTTACCTTTTTCTCATGGAGAAGCTTAATGAACTTGAGGAGATCAACCTCCCTGCCATTATGCTGGAACACATGCACAGGGTAATGACTTGAAAAAGGGTTAAACATGGGATTCCGTTTGGTTACTTGCTGAATTTTGTATTCAACCATTTCGAAGTGCCTTTGGGAAAATGGGTAACTGGTACCACCAAGCAGATGTTCACTGCTTCTACCCTGCTGGAATGTGAGTGTGTTGAAGGAAAAGCTAGGGGCAGATCTCAAGTGGCAGATGTTCTAGAGCAACAAGCTGCACTTAAGCTTCTTACTTAGATTCTGAATAACAAGGAAATTGAAATCGCTACACTGAAGTCTGAATTATAGTAGGTTATTTCGAGGGGACCTGGTACTAGTGATGGAAATGAGCAGGTGTTGCAAAAGTTGAGGGATGAAAATGAAAGGTTGCGGAAGACAAATGTCTCACTCAATGAGGAAGTTAAGGCTCTCAACAAGCAGCTTATCAAGGCTTATGAGCATGCAAATGAGCGTCTATCTCTGTTTATGCGCACCCTCAATCCCTTTCCCCCTCCGTCCTAAAATTGTCTTGTTTCCCTCTTTGTTCTTCAATACTGATTAAAACTCTTGTGGCTTTGTGTTGTTTTGACTGACTACAGTGGTCAGTATTTGTGATCTAATGCTATTTATGTGTGGCTTAATATTCTCTTTATGCTTGCATACACATGTTCTGTGTGTCCCAAGGCCCTGAATTCTTTATTGCTGTCACGACCCGAGAGCACCCCTAAGTTGCGACACGGCGTACTCAACCTCTCGGAGGTCTCATACAAGCCCTAAGCATTCATCACATTAGATATGTAAAATAGTGCGAAATTAAAAACACTTTAAATAAAATCCATAAGACTCAAAGGTCACTTTTAGAAACATCATTCAAAAGCACACAAGCAGAATACTAAATCTCTTAGCCATCTTAGACATAAACGTGAAAACATACCAGGGAAACGGCCCCTTTACAATCAAAAGAAGTCTATTAAGTCTATTACAAGAACCTTATCATAAAATTAGAATAGAAAAGTCTTGTCCTCGACATATGAGGACATACCACAAGATCTTGGAAGAACTTCAAGTTCCAAGCTTACTATAGAACCCGCTCACTTTCCGGAACCTACACTAGTAGAAAATAGAGAAATATGGAATTAGCACAATTAAGTACTAAGTATGATGACCATGCAAGAAAACGTGCACCACAGACATTTACAAAGGATAAATGTTTTTAAGACCTTCTTTAACAAACCTTTACAACCACAAGCATAAACCCACATTTCAAGTCACCATTCACAAATAAGACCATATTCACATCGTTTACAACTCAATTAACACAAGTGTATTATACCTAAACAAGATAGCAAAGTAATTCTTTCCTTACCATTTAAGTCTCTATCTCAAGTCACCCTAAGTCACACTTAAGTGAATAATGAAGTGACCGCCCATACAACCTCTTCATATACACCTAAGTGTTCCTAAGAGTTACCATAGACAAGGGTTTTATCATTACATTACAACATACTGAGTCAACATTCTTTATAAAACCATTTAAGAGACACGCAAGCATATAGGGGACAATCACATAATAGCCCTAAGGCTTAGGGAACTCACTTTAGTATCTTCTAAGCCTACTCGTGCCATGTGTAGATAGCATCTCATACTACTACCTACACGTTGTAGAACCTATCCAATATTAGAGTGCATATCCCATATGATGGAAATAGGCCTTAACCGACATAGACCGTTCTAGCAAGGTATGGAATCCGGAGTCTATCCTACTCCGTGGAGGTTGTTCTACTTGCCAAGGGTAGAACTAAAAGCAACCCATGTTGGCACATGGTTTAAGAGATGTCCAAGGATGTTCATTGTGCCTAATCTCATGCTCAACTAGGCCACCATCCTAACCACATCCACTCGGTGCTTAGCCTTGGTTTCCATAGAGTATTCAATCACATATGTACTAGAGAGGGTTCCTTTTCTAGTTCAACCAACTCATAGTACCTCTTCCCAAGAAAGGCCCCATTTCTTAGTCATAGCCAATCTAGGTTCATAAGGATAGTTCATTTGACTTTCTTAGATAAGGATTCTCATGCCGTTTCGGCTCCATCCATCTCTAAGTCTATCATTTCACTCAAGAAGGGAACATCACCCTAAGGCCCATCCTTCAAGGTTATACATTTACTTAGGAAAGCTAGACTCATGAAAAGGCACTATGCTTAAGTCTTGCCAATTCAAGTCTTGGCCTAGAATTCCTCTTTTAGCATTTATTGGAAGAGCTCCATTACTAAGTCATAGCCCAATCCCACATTCATATATAAAATCAAGCTTTCATGACACAAGACAAGATACTCAAGTCTAGCATATGAGCTAAAATATCATCTTATAAAGACTCATCATAGTCCATCATCACTACATATCATCATTTCAAGAGAAACATGCTTTCTCATTAGCATAATAACAATTTATACAATATCACTTTAATACCATTAGAACATCTTCACATTATAGCTTCACACAAACTTTACATATAGCTTCATATATGACTTTACATATAGCCTCATATGTGTATAATAATACAACACTATAATAGCACTCATATAATGCCCTTCATGGCCTCAATTTACAATAATACGATATTCCAATATTATACAACAACTTCACCAATGCCTTCATGGCTACAATTCAATAATACCACACAAGAATACGATATAACACTTCCACCAAAGGTGGATTCAACCTACCAACAACAATCAATTCAATCAAGAGAGTTCAAGCTTTCTTACCATAATCCAAAGCCATAGCCAAAATCACCAAAATCCAAACAATCACAATATTTCACCCATAAGGCTTACCACCCTTAATTCACCCATTATCAACAATTAATCATGAATAAACATTAAACAACCCAAGAGATATCAATACAATTCACTTTACACCTAATTCCATCAACTTTGAATTTATAGAAAAAGATTCACTTCATAAGCAAATTTAGGAGTTTAGGGAAAACACGGGTTCTTCAAGGAATTTCATATGAAATCATCTTAAAAACAATAATTCATCAATATAATGGCTTAGAAAACGTTTTGCCAATGAACCCATGCTTAGATTAAAATTTGAGATTTTTGTTCTTGAAACACTTTTGAAACCCTTTTGATTGGACTCCTTGAAAGAAAGATGGATCAAGGATCAAGGGTCACCATACCTCTAAGTTGAAAACCCATGAAAAATTGAAGAAGAAAGCACTCAAAATCTTCAACCCTAGCTCCAACTTGACCTTGGCCTTAAATGGTATTCTAGAGAGAACCCCCCCTTTTTTTTGAAGAATGAATTAAAACAATACCTCTTTAAAAGTTTTAATACCATAAATAGTTATTAGAAATAAAATAAAATATACCCACTTCATAATTTAACTAAAAAAATAATA